TCTGACAATTCCATCTGGGCTGGCTGCGAGCCACTCCTTCCCTGGGTGAATGAAGAGGCCACACTCCTCCACCTTCACAGGCCTACCTGTCCTCCTGGACTGGAGCTCCTCATATGCCTGCACTGCCTTTTTCTCGTTTCGGGTGCCCCAGGACATGGCTGGTGTCTGCATTTTGGAACCGGAGCTCACCACAGCCTTGAGATAAGACTGGGGCACCTCTGAGCTCTTGCCATTGACAAACTTGCTGTTAGCAATCCTGGGTGCGACTGAGGCTGTGATGCGGTTTTCCCGCCACTCATCCCACTTGGGATTGTCCCTCTGGCCCCGGGTTTCCCTCTCCACTTTCACCACATCTTCTCTTGTCAACAGGGAGGGAAATTTGCTTGCTTTGCCCTGGTCAGTGGTATTGGCTCGAGAGCGGCTGGATTGACTCCCTCCCAGGCAGGGGTCGGCACCGGCAGGTGCTATAGCTATTGTGGAGCAAGGTTTCCCTCCACTAGTTACTGTGGGGTTCTTAGCTGTCACTCTGTAGCTTATCTTGGTGTCTCCTTGATCACTGCCAGGTGCTGCAGTGGCCCTTGATTGGGAAGAGCTTTGCCCGGCTCTTCTGGCAGTGGTGCTGCTGGTTGGCTTGTCTGTCTGTGCCCTGCTGGTGCCTGAACTCCCAGAAGCCTGAGCGCTCGTAGGTCGGCTGGCTGTGGGTGTTGTCTTGGCCTGGGTAGAGGAGGCAGAGGAACGGGGTGCTGCTGGGGTGGCTTTGGGCACAGTTGCAGCCTGACAAGGTGAGGCTGTGCTGTCAGGGTTTTTCCTGGGTCTCCCCATTGTTCAGTGTCAGGGGTCACGCTGTGTGGGCACAAGAGAAAGGTGAATGTACATTCCTAGACCAGATCAGTTTCCTGGCTCTGGCAAGAGCTGCTATGCTTGAGGCTTCAGGTGGGTTACACATCCCTTCTCTCCCCATGTAGGCAGGACACCCTGCAGCCCTCTGCAAGAATGTGTCTGTATCTCCATATTAGGCTGTTATGACACTTCTGTGCTGTCCCTATGCAAGCCTCTTTCCCAGGCTGTAGTGTTTTCCAGGATGTAAGGATCATGCAAGTGCATCAATGCCTGACCCCTCCCTTTATCCCTCTTTTTTAAGGCTGTGTGATGTCTGACCTCTCTCCAGCGAGCTGGTTCTTGGGGCCTACAACTCCACAGTATGCATGGTTCTGACCCAATGAAGCCAGCCCAGAACTGAACTGGAGCTGACCCAGAGAGGGTTCAGGGAAGGAGTAGGTATCAGCTAGGGCTGTCCCATGGGAGCTGGAGCAGTGATGGATGGGAGGGGATGCTCTCTGAGCTGAGGGGTGAAAACAATACCTAATGTGAAAGTTTAGGGAGATGTCTGAGTCATTGTGAATCCCATTGTTTTGTGAACCCCTTTTGTGATTGAAAACTTCACATCAATACAGCTCATGAGAACACCCATTTTGTAGCACAGCCTTAACAGTTAGTGGACAAACTGAGAAGTTGAGAGTAATCAAGGGACATCAACACTGAATGACTCTTTCCTACTGGAACAATGGGATTTCTACTGGTAGAGCCATTGACTGAATGGGCCTCTACACAATCTGAGGGGCGCGGGGAGCTCGAATCTAGACCTCTTCTTATCTTGCAGCACTGTTTTATAAGGGGTGCTTCTCCAAGCAGGAGAGGCCAGCCCTTTCCACTACCAGCAGCAAGAGGAACAGGCCAGAAGGCAGTGAAAGGTGCCCAAGGACTCGGACCAAACCCAGGACTCACAGACCAGCAGGAACTGGATTCATGAGCTTGTTTTTCACAGCTCTGTTACTCTTATCAAGTACAAGATTTTTGTAAAAATCTGTCAAAATCTTAAAGCCCAATAACATACTAACATTTCCTTGGATTTTCAAACCCACCAACCTTCACCTTTAGGTGTGCAACCCTAACCACAGCAGTAGCAACCTGCAGGGCAAAGGCCTCCACAGAGATTCTCTGTCCAATCTGCAAGAAATACAAAAGAGAAAAGTAGGAATTAAGATCAAGAAAGTACATCTCCATGATGCAGAGAGAAACTGAGGCAGAGAGTGAAGTGACTTGGCCAAGGCTGTTGGAGAGCAGGTGTCTGTGCCAAGAGAAGAACTGATTTCTTGTCTCCTAGTCCCGGGGTATTTTTACTTGTCCAAGCTGCTTCTGACCACACTGTACTGATTATTAAACAAAGATGCTTGAGGGTAAATTAGAGGCTCCTGGAGCAAAGGCTCCCTCTCTGCTGGCCTATGAAGGGTCACGCCCAGCTACAGTGTGGGTAAATAGACAGAGGATTACAGTGCTTCTCAGCACCCCAAAGTAACAAACTGAGCCATAGCAAATACTCAATTGCTTCCTAGGAGAACCAGGTCTCTGCATCTGCCCCACTACGAAAGGCCCACTTGCTGCATCACTTCTCAGAAATCAAGCCTCTGAAATTATGGATGCACTGGTATTTCACTTCCCTTTCTGGCAGTAAAAGTTAAGAGCCAACAGCAGAGTCGTCCCCTTTAGCAAACATGCCTCTCTGCCTGCTCTCCTCCATACTAGGGAACTTTGGATTTGGAAGGGTTGATGGTCAATTTCACTAGTTCTCAGGGAGAGGGTTAGCATGAACTATTGACATGGCAATAATGAACATTGTTATTAAAGAACTGAAAAGCTGTAACCACTATTTTTACTATTTTACAGTTGGGGCTTTTGGATGCCAGTGTCATTTTTGCAAACAGGCCCAGCTGTTTATTTCATGATAATCTTTAGAATGCTGAAGTTTTCTTGGGATCACCTGTGACACCCACTCTTTGCCACTCTAAAATTAGCTTCTCCCTCCATGTTTCTCACTGGTGCCAGCCTGTCTTCCCAACTGCAGTGCCAGGATATGACAAGACAAAATGGTCAGATTCCCGTGACTCAAATAGTCCCCTCTAGCAACAAGTCCAGGCATATCTGTCAGGATGACTTGAACTGCTCTAGTCTGCATCCATGTGTGTGACTGCCAGGGGAAGGGGGTTTATTTATGCCACTCTGCAGCTGCAATTCACAAAGATCCAAATATGAATTTTTCATGATTACACTCTACCATCCCCCCTCCCCCCCAGACTCTTCAAAACAAGCCTGTTATAGCTTAAAAATGAAGCTTGTTCCCTTCTAGAAACAGTCCCTGGCTCGTTCATAGGCCTGCCAATCAACTATCTGTGGATTTCAGTAAAACACCCTTTGCCCCTGAAGGCTATAGGGTTTGTAGGGACAAGATAGGTTTCATTGCAGGCTGAGCACCGTGCCTGTGAATTATTCACAATTTTTTAGGACCACGTAGGGGCCAGAGAGTCCAAGGAGTGGCGTCTTTGGTCTGTAGGTCACGGATCTCAGACCCACAGACATTTATAGCACTGGCTCATTCAGGGACCCATTTAACAGGCTCTGCTCAGGAGCAATGTGAAGTGGTCCAGGGGGGCTCTATGGCTCTCATAGCAAGACAGCCGTTCACAACACCGAGCCACGCAGCAGGGCAGACTGGGGACACCGAGGGACGAGGCGGCCCATCCTTCTGGGCGATGGCCGGGCAGGGAGAGCAGCTGCTGCTCCCGCCAAGTCGGACAGAGGGATCGGGGCTACAAGCCCCTGAGCCAGGCCACGTGCCCCCACCCAAACGCAGCCCGGGCTTTCTCCAGCCCACCCCGCTGCGCAGAACGGAGCCCCGCCCTCCCGCGGACACGCCCCACGGCGGGAAGCCAAGTCCGGCCCCCGGGGACGGGCTCCACGGCAGAACTAGACCCGTGGCAGAGCCGGGACACGTCCCTCCAGCCCCGCGCCGGGCTCGGACCCCACGGCTAGGTCTCGCCCTAGCGGGAGCCCCGGCGCAGCTCACCAGCGCGCGGCCGGAACGGGCTGCCCGGCTGGTCAACAGCCGGAGCACACGCCAGGGAGCGCCCCGAGGCCCAGCGCCTCGCGCTCCGCTCGCCCGGCCCGCCAACGGCCGCACTCCCGGGGCGGGGCGGGCCCGGCCCGCGCCTACCTGAGGGGAAAGAGGCGTGGCCGGGCCGCTCGCACACGAAGCGATGGGGAGGACGGAGCAACGCAGCTCCAGACGGCGCGAGCCCCTCTGCTTAGCCCGCCAATGCGCGACCAGGCTCTTAAAGTAGCCCCGCGGAGCCAATCAGCGACAGTCACCGCCTTTTTTTTTTTTAAACAAAATAGGGAGCGGGCTGGCCCGGCCAATCAGGTGCCTTCGCTCACTTTCTTAAAACGTCTTTGCAGGCCATTGGCTGCGAGACAGAAGCGGGGGCGGGGTTCGAAGACCGCTGGGGGGCGGGGTTCGTCAGTCACGCTAGGCGCGGGGCGGGGCAAGGTGGAAGCACAACAAAAAAGCCCAAAGGAAAAGCGGGATTTTGGTTGTAGAAAAAAACGTTGGCGTAACCGCCGCGTCACGTGACCACCCCGCTTCTCCCCCCCCCGCCCCGGGCCCCACTTAGGGGCGTGCAACCCACCGCCTGGGAGCGGGAAAGGGTCGCTCTGTCAGTGTCACGGGGTGTCTTTGTGGGGGCGGGGGGTTAACTCTCCTTCAAGCCACTAACTCAGATGGGAGCGAGGTTTTGGGAGTGGAGTAAGGTGACCAGACAGCAAATGTGAAAAATCGGGACAGGGGGTGGGGGTAATAGGAGCCTATATAAGAAAAAGACCCCAAAATCGGGACATCTGGTCACCCTAGAGTGGAGGGGGATGGGATGCTCTGTCCAACCTTCCCTTAACCCCAGTGGTTGGCTCCTCTCACCCTCTGCGTGAGTTTAGTGCTGGTGAAAGGTGTCAGGTGGGTAATCCCAGAGACTAAAGGCCTCTTTCAATATAGCAGATACAGCCCAGATCAGAGGGCAAGCTTCTCCCTCTGCAAACCATGCCCTGAAGTAACACCCTCTAAGGGGGCAGAAAGGAAGTTGTCCTCTCAGCTGTTATGGGCCATCAATGTCAAATGTTGTGATTTGCCCTAGGACCTGAATTGAGCACCCCCTCCCGTAAACTCGCTTCGCCTGGACTAAGCAAAGAGTAGCCCCTCTCTGAGCTGACTGCACTCACTAGCTCCAGAGGTGGTGAGGAGGGGAGCAGTGTGCAGCTACTGTCAATATTAATGGAGAGTGACTGTAAATCATTTGTAAAAGCCATTTAGAAAAGTATTTCTTGCTAAACTGTAAAATGGACTCCTCTCTGCTCTAGAACTTCCAGTTGCACTGAAGTCTCTTGCAGGGAGACCAAAACAGTTAGTTAGCTGGGGTGGCTCAGAAAATTCATGGGAGGGGGAAGAGGGAGAGTCCACAGGCAGCAGAGAATAAATAAAATCACCCTGGGCAAAAGCAGATCAATCTCATCCCCTTGAAATGGCTCTCGGGCCTTCCTCTGCTCTGCCAGGAAGCATTCTTCATAAAAGTTTGGTGGATGATGGGAACCAAGTCCCGAGAGAGCAGGAAGCAGGTGAGGCTTCTATTTCTGAACTGTCCTCTCCCCTGAAGAATTCTCAGGCTTTGGCAAACTTGGCTCCTCAGTCAAATTTGGGGAATGTTAGTGCCTCATACAGACTGGGGGGTCTTGTGCCTTGAACCTTATCTGCTATACAAATGGCTGCCCCTTGAATGGGATATGCTGACTATGGAGTTTCTAGACGGAATATTTGGTCTTCTGTCTTCCTCTCTCTTCTTCAGGGGGAGGACATACCTGAGCTGGTTGGTCTCTTGGGAGCTCCATATGCACTAAGAATCAGATCCCATTTTCTAATTCTTCCTTACTCCCTCCTCCCCCACAGAACGAGACCCATGTACCTTTTGCACCTTCTGTGCTGCATTTCAAAGACTCCACTCCCCTTGTGTTGGAGGCCCTTGGTTTACTCATATGATGACAGGTGTTCTGATGCTTGTGCATAGGGGATTCATGTCCCTACTGAGCTAGACCTGTTTTTTGGGGTGAGCAGGGGCTTGGAGGGGTAGGGGACATGGAAGGAACATAAGATCACAATTCCACTTATTGGGGGGAGGGCATATGAGGCATCTTCCCCATCACTCAGCAATCCCCCGCATTGGGAGGGTTCACTCCCTGTACACATCTCCTGCAGTGGGAAACCTAGGCCCATGAAATGCTTTACGCTTTTATAGTCACGTTTTTATTGAAATGATGTAAAATAGCAAATTCTGGTCCTTGCCTTGTGGAGTGTGGCTGGAGTGATATGTATATAATATAGTACTTTTGCAATAATCCTTGTGGCCTGGTCTTGGTTTCATGGCCTCACCTCTAATCCCACTTGGGGGTGAATTTCACTGAATCTCAACTTTGACTGAGCATGCAGTGGGTGGGAATGGTCCCAAGCCATGTCTTTTCTACCATGGCTCAGTCTTCATTGGGAGTTTGGTGGATCCTGGGGAGTTAAAAATCCAAAGAATGGAAGAGTCTGTCTACATGTGTTTGAAGAGTACAAGCCTCTTGCCCTTGGAAAGAAATGGTTGTGGAAGTGCAAGGGTGTGTAAAACTAGGCAGAATGAGAGGAAATTGAGCGAACAGAAACGTCATGTAAGGAACAGGGAGAACACCAGGGCTCTGAGCTGGATCAGGCTCAGATGCAGTCTCCCACTGGAAAAAGTAGGAGATAGTCAGCTGGGGCACTAAAATCTCAGACTAGAGTACTAGAATGTATCTGCTAGCCGCAGGCTGAGAGAGAGATAGGACTGATGGCATTTTTCCCATCTGTGATGTAAGCAGCTGAAAACAGGCCTCATCTAGGGCTTTGTGAGTGAAATTACTGCTGTTTTCTTGATTACTATTTGAGATGTACACAGCACTATTGATTACGAGGTGGTAGCCTGGCTCCTGTTGTGCTGTGGGGAACTCTGGAAATGGGGGAATTCCAACACCCACTGAAAGCACCAGTTCAACCATGAGAGAAACTGGGAGGCAGGCACAACCCCATGCTACAAGACACTTATGTTAATACAAGCAGCTCAAAATGGGTGTCCTGTCCTTGTGTGTGTGAGCAGACACCCACTCCTGGTAACGAGCCCCTCTGCTGCAGTACTCTATCCAGTCCCCCTGGGTTAATTATAGCCCCACAACTGGTTTCCTCTACAAATCACAAGAGAATCACCCAAAGTGAATATTTTATTTAGACACTTTAGGAGCAACTGAAATTAACCAAAACAGTGATTTCAAAGGCATAGGCTGCTCTACCTAGGGCAGGGACACACATGGCAGAGTCAGCTATTGAAGAAATAAGCTTTCATTTAAAAAAAAGTCTCTGGGGAATCTCATGGTTGTGTAGTTATACTTGGTTCACCTTTGAAAGGTTAATTCAGGGGTAGGCAGCCTGTGGCACGCGAGCTGATTTTCAGTGGCACTCACACTGTCTGGGTCCTGGCCACCGGTCCGGGGGGCTCTGAATTTTAATTTAATTTTAAATGAAGCTTCTTAAACATTTTAAAAACCTTATTTACTTTACATACAACCATAGTTTATATATTATAGACTTATAGAAAGAGACCTTCTAAAAACGTTAAAATGTATTACTGGCACGCGAGACCTTAAATTAGAGGGAATAAATGAAGACTTGGCACATCACTTCTGAAAGGTTGCTGACTCCTGAGTTAATTGATGGATGCAGTGTTGTCTTCCTGCATCTGCAGACAGCCTGCATTAGTAGCTCTGACATGTAAGCCCTTCCCCCAAATTCTCATGGGGTCCTATTGGGTTCGGGGGAAGTGGGTGGGCATAAGCCCACCCATGGCTGAAGACCCCTCAGAGAATGGAACAGAAATAGGCCCCACAGTCGCAGAGAACCCCCTCAGCCAACATCCTCTCCCTGGAGATATAGATGGCCACTTTGGCCATCGCTAGGAGGTCCCATGACTTTGTGGGGCCACGGATGGGGTGTGCTTATATGAGAAGGTGGGGGGAGAAAATGCAAAAGTGGGTCCAGGAGGAGCCAGAAAAGGGGCTGCAACCTGGTGCACAGAAGCCGGGGTCTCCCTCATGCCGCAAAACAGACAGGCATCAGGGACAGGGGTGAACCACACCAGGTACATGCCTGTGCTCATGGTTCACATTATCATGGGGCGAAGGGTGGACTCCAAATCCTACTAACACTTTAAACGTAAGCAGTTAACGAGTTAATTGCTGATCATTTTCATAGATTCATAGATTCATAGATTCTAGGACTGGAAGGGACCTCGAGAGGTCATCGAGTCCAGTCCCCTGCCCGCATGGCAGGACCAAATACTGTCTAGACCATCCCTGATAGACATTTATCTAACCTACTCTTAAATATCTCCAGAGATGGAGATTCCACAACCTCCCTAGGCAATTTATTCCAGTGTTTAACCACCCTGACAGTTAGGAACTTTTTCCTAATGTCCAACCTAGACCTCCCTTGCTGCAGTTTAAGCCCATTGCTTCTTGTTCTATCCTCAGAGGCTAAGGTGAACAAGTTTTCTCCCTCCTCCTTATGACACCCTTTTAGATACCTGAAAACTGCTATCATGTCCCCTCTCAGTCTTCTCTTTTCCAAACTAAACAAACCCAATTCTTTCAGCCTTCCTTCATAGGTCATGTTCTCAAGACCTTTAATCATTCTTGTGGCTCTTCTCTGGACCCTTTCCAATTTCTCCACATCTTTCTTGAAATGCGGTGCCCAGAACTGGACACAATACTCCAGCTGAGGCCTAACCAGAGCAGAGTAGAGCGGAAGAATGACTTCTCGTGTCTTGCTCACAACACACCTGTTAATACATCCCAGAATCACGTTTGCTTTTTTTGCAACAGCATCACACTGTTGACTCATATTTAGCTTGTGGTCCACTATAACCCCTAGATCCTTTTCTGCCGTACTCCTTCCTAGACAGTCTCTTCCCATTCTGTATGTGTGAAACTGATTTTTTCTTCCTAAGTGGAGCACTTTGCATTTGTCTTTGTTAAACTTCATCCTGTTTAACTCAGACCATTTCTCCAATTTGTCCAGATCATTTTGAATGATGACCCTGTCCTCCAAAGCAGTTGCAATCCCTCCCAGTTTGGTATCATCCGCAAACTTAATAATCGTACTTTCTATACCAATATCTAAGTCATACCAATAT